TTTGATTTAAAAATTAATTATATTAAAATATATAATCAATTTTTAAATTTAAATATTAATATTTAATATAGTAAAATTTTAAATTTTGAATTGAAATTTTAATTTTTAAATATAAATTAAGAATATAATTTTTTTTAAAATTCAAAATTAATATGTATTAACTTATATTAAATATACTCATACATATGTATATATATATGGTACGAGCCTGGCTGGCAAATATACTCATATTCGATGCTCCAAAATTTAGGGTACAAAGGTCTAGTTCAATGCTAGCTCCATGTAAGACCACTTTAGAGTTTGTTTTGTTTTATTGGACTCTGGACCGGAACCCGACCAACAAGAAGGAATGGAATTTTCAATTTTTCATAGTAGAAAAGTAGTCCCGGTAAAATTGGATCAATCCTTTTACCCCCAAAAAAAAAAAAAAAAAATTGGATCAATCCGAATATCTCCGTTCGTGGATTTTATATATTAATTAAAAAAATTTTTTTTTTGACTAGGTAGATGGTTAGGAAGTTAGTAGAGTTAGTTTGTTAGCAGCTGGAATTTTTTCAGGAAAGTGAACTTCCACCCCCTCATTTGAGGCGCGCGATCATTAAATCGCAAGTTGGTAGAGTTCACGGCGGTGGCAGAGTTCGAAACCCTGACCTCCGCCTCACCAAGCCCTGAAACTTGGGGGCCAACCAATTGAGCCACAGGTCCGGTTGGCATATTAATTTAAAATTTAAAATGATTCAAATTGAAATTATTTAAATCTAAATAATTTAAATTATGGGTTAGTCGGATTACTTAAAATAATTTTAATATTTATTTATTTTTTATAAAATTATTTAAAAATTAATTTTTAATTTTTTAATCTTAAAAACAAAAATAAATATTATATATACCTCAAACTCCAATTAATTTTTAATTTTTAATTTCTTAATTTAAAAATAAAAATAAATAAAATATGTTCCCCAAACCCTTCCCAGCTCTTGTCCCCTACGTCAGTCTCACTCTTTCAAATTTCCCTCTTCTACACTCTTCCTTTTCCCCTCTTCATCTTAAGCTCCCTAATCTTTCTGCACTTGCATCAAACGAAAATCAGATCTAATGGCAATAGTGAGCTGCATCAAAAAAATCACTTTTTTTCTCTCATTTTACTTACAATAGGAAGCAGGAGAATGCCTTAAGAAACGCAATATCCAATATTTGAGGTACCCTCGTCACCATAAAAAACACAAGAACAAAAATATCATGAAAGTTAGTTTTTAGTTGTTCATTTGTTTTTAATTATTAATTTGTTTTTAATTAATAAAAATCATTCTTGATTTAAATTTTTCTTGTATTGGTTTATTTTTTAAAATAATAATTTATCAAATTTATTTTATTTTAACCATGTTTGTTCGTGTATTTTTTTTTATTTTGGTCTTAGTTTGTAATAATTTTCAAGTTTTTAATTTAATTTCATATCTAATGTTTTCTGAAGGAAAATCTGAAGTTATTATTGAGCCTCAGTCGAAGAGAAGGAGAGTTTCAGATGTTTGGAAAGATTTCGACATCATTTTAGCTAAAAATTAGAATGATGGAAAAGATAGAACCAAATGCAAATATTGTGACGCTACCCATATAGCTCCATCTTCGTATGGCACAAAAAATTTGAAATAGCATCTTTTGAAATGTCCTTCAAAATGTGCTTCTGGTAATGCTTTACGAATGTTGATTGACAATTCTGAAAAATTGGGTAAAGAAAGGATAGATTTGGAAGAGAGATAGACCTGACAAACAAGTCGGATTTGGTGAATTCGGATTGGATAAACAAGAGGCCTCTTAAAGATGTTTATGTTGATGATGATGGATGGATATCGGCACTGATATCTAGTGTGAGGATCGTCACCTGTTTTGTTGTAATGATGGTTACGACATTCATCTGGGCGTTGAGTATGTTTGTGCTCCTGCCTTGGCCTTACCAGAGAGGCCGGTAAGGAAATATCAATGGCCATGTGACTGGTTAGATTGATGGTATGCATTTCTTGATTTTTTTTAAAACATTTTATGAGCATGAAAGGAAATCAGTTGGTGCTTTTAGCTGTTTCTGAATTTCTTTTGGTTGCTGATAAACATGAGGGAAAAACAAAGAAAGAAAAGAAATTGAGGAAACTTTGAAACTTAGCTATTTTTTCTTCATTCCTTGGAAAGCCATTTCTACATGGACAAAAGTACAAGTTCATTTGTTTGCTGTTTCAAGGAAAATTTTAGGTTGTCTTCTTACCTCAGCAATGAAAAGTTTGCTTCTTTTGACAAATTCCCATTTAACTGTTTGTTCCTCTTAGATTTTTCATTCATTTATTTTGGTTGTTGAAACATCCCAAGTCAATTTAAGAAGATAGTACGTCCGTCAGAAGATAAGCTTTGTGAGTGTAGATGAATCCATGGTTCAAGAAAACAGTAGAGTCGTTGGTGCATAGAAGCTGGATCTAATATTCTCTGATCAGCTATACATTTGCTTTCAAATGAAGTTGAAAAATGTTAGGGGTAGAATCCTTGGTGTAATGGTTTAAGAAAACAGTAGATGTTTAAATTACAACCCTTCTCTGGCATCAGTATTTGAATACGAGACTTTCAACTTAAAATTTTAATCTAGTAAATTGTTCTTAGCCAAGGCTAAAAATGTAAAAATAAAAAATTTGTTCTCACGCAGTACTTTTGATAACCATAGTTGTTACTTCTTGCAAGGTTTATTATAGTCCAATTCTCACTTCATCTTTTTTGTTGATTGCAAGGCCCATTAGAGTCCAATTCTTATTTTATCACATAACAACCAAGCAATCTAAAAGGCAACAGATGCAAGGGGGCCTAATTAAACCCACCAATCACACACTGACGATGAAAGAAAATGGGTCAGGACTT